ACATATTTATTTAGTGCCTAATGAAAATCGTAGAGGAATTTTTTCAAATTGCCCTAAAAATTCTAAGCCAATTAGTAAGTCAATACAAGTATTTGCAAGTAAATATTGAAAATAACTTGATTGTGTAGAAGTTATTGTATAATTAGAGTATTATAACATCACATATATTGTATACTTGTAAGTTTCCTTTTGAGTATCAATTCAATTATATGATGCAATTTTAATCTATGATTTAAAATAAAATAAAGTAAATTATATATATCTCGAATTTGGTGATAGGTTACTTTCGTAGATAAAGTTTCAAGATAAATTATTTAATTCACTTAATCCATCCATGCGTAAGTCATTATCAAAAAGCTACTACTTAGCTTGTAAATTTTATTGTTCTCAATTTGATTAGGTAGAAAAACTTTAGAATATATATTTTAAGCTTCTATCCTTAAAAGGTTATTATACATATTTATGTGTTACTAATCATCATAGGTCGTGGATTGATAAATATGATTTCTCCGTCCTTAACGTAAAGATTTCATATTTAATTTATATGAAAGAAATTTTTTTTTGAAGTAAGGTGCAAATTTGAATTAGTCAAAATTTAAAGTGATGAGTATTAACACTGATCACGATATATAACCAAATAATTATTTTGAATTTTCTTCCAAAAATTGGGCACCTGATGAAAAGGTCAACGTATTGTTATAAGCTATTAAATATTATTGTGAGATGAATAGAAAAGATTTTTTCTTTTGATATATTTTATATTAGGTGAATTTTAATTTGTCGAAAACCTGAAGCGAGTATCAACACCAATTACGAATCTTACCAAACTAATATTTGAATTTTTTTTCTTCAAATTTAGATTGTAAGCTTGTATTCTTTTATGGTTGTTAGTTGTTACATATTATATTTATATTATACATATATATAAGTTATTTTTTTTAATTCTTTTGTATCATCATTAGATTTATATACTCAAGGTGCGCCGCACACATTACTAACCCTTTGACAACCACAAACAAACAAGTAATCGTACACGTTAAAGTTAAATTTCTTCATCTTATATTATATTTTTTTTTAAAAAAAATAAATTATAGCACCACTATATTGTTATTATTATTATTTATTATTTTAATATTGTTATATCCTCAAAAGCTGGATTCTTTTGATTTTCAGTTACGTTTTTTCAACTTGATCTTAATATATTAAACAATTTTAAATTGCAAAAAATATAACTTTAGGTTATACAGAACGCCGTTCTCTTGTGCTTGGAGCTTGACAAAGTTTTAATAAATCCCTATAAAAATTAAAAACCAATAAAGCCAAACCTCACTAGCTTTATGAAACAAAAGCCTAATTATTTGATTCCCATTTCCCTAGCTACTTTTGATCCTTAATTTTGTCTTTTCCCAAAAACAAAATCCCCCTATTAGTGTTTTAAAATTTTAAAAGATTTGAAAATCTTCTAAAAGGAAAATTTTAAAATATATTTTCAAAAAACTCTGAAATATTTAGCGACAATATTTATTATCGTAGAATATTTTAAATAATTAAGTTAATTTCATTATATGTAGAATCGATAAAGTCTATAATAACATTTATTAAGAGTGTTGATTACAAATTTATACTCAATGGGTGCATTTTCTTTATGTTATAAAATTTCCAACATAGTATTAAGCATATATGGAGGGAACAAAGTGGAGCATGCCACCTTTAAGTGTTAGCTATAGTATTAATGAATCTAAAGTATTAACGATATTCATACTAAAAGTTGATTAAGTGGTGGATTTTCTTAATTAAATGCACCTTTTAATTAAGTGGAGGTAGAGACCATACTACTAAAGCAAACCTATGTGAACATTACTAAGAAGTAGGAAGAAACAATGATATTCTCTTTTAAGTGGGACATATATTCTATTTGGATTAAATTAGTTGCAATTATTGATTCGACTAATGCAAATTTATGTTAGATGATCTGTTATAATGAAAATGCTTTCTATCAAGATTTTCTTCATTTTTAAAATTTATTTCGAAATATATACTTAAAAATGAAAAAATCGCATGTCATAATAGTGTATATAGATACATAAATTAAAATGTGGTTAATTAAACATCCTTCTACCGAAAATTCTAACTTTCAAGCTTATTAAACAATAAAGAATGAAACATTATTGAATTGATGATTGACTATTCTTTTTATTTCATTTTATGTTTGATCGGATATTAGGATAATAATAAAGTTTAATATGATAGAAGAAATTTTTTAAAAGTTTAAAACTTAAACGGTACTATAAAGTAACGTTAGTAATAAAATAATGTCAAAAGTTAATGCTTCAAGATAATAATTGTGTCATCTAGACTGAAAACGAAAGAGTGCATTTTGAAGGTTTAAAATTTTGAATTAAATCCAAACTGTTACAAGTGTCTGACAACTGTTCAAAGTTGATTGACTTTCTGATAAAGAAGTGCATATTTGAGTGACTTTTGAGTGAAAATTGAAAGTTGAGTGACTTTATAAGAGAAGAGTGCATAGTTGAATGACCATCTGAGGTATTAACTCAACTATTTTATTAAATTTGTTTTTTTAGTATTTTTTATTAATCTTTCTTCTTCTTCTTCTTTTATTTTTTTAATTTTTAATTTTGTAGTAGGTGATGTAATATATATTTCATTTATTATTTGTATCTCACTCGGTTATTTGGAGCGAGTCTGTATTGGAGCTCCTACGACTAACACTCTCAATAAATTCTTTTCATATACGTCAAAAAATTTTAAACTGAAATTTTCTGATTAAGAGTGAAATATTCCGCTTCTAATTTATAATTCATATTGGTAGCAGGTGATATATAAATGCATATTGCAAATGTGGTAGTTTAGCTGTCACCAATCAAAGTGTGTAAGCAAGAGACTCTACACACACCTATTTTATTTTTTAAAAAAATTCAGTTTATTCAATTTAATGCAGTTGGACCCCACCCCACCATGCTTGTGGTTGGGGGGGGGGTTNAGGGGGGTACCATCTCTAAAAACCTCAACAAGTATGCTTTGATATAGGAGAAAGAAAACAAATGGGGATCTCTCTTTTTGGTAAATTTAAACACTAGGATTAATATTCCTCTCATCCAAAACAACACTTTGTCTATAGTAATTTTGAAACAAAAGGTAATTTAAATGAACCCTTTCATTCTCTAGCTAGCTCCACTTCTGACTATATCTAAGTACGATAAAAAAAAAATTGAAAACGTTAATATTTAAACCACTTAATTCGAACTTAGAAGTTTACTATTAGGACCGATTATATGATAATTTTACTATTTTTATACTATACACCTAGCTAAGAAAAGGTTGTGTTGGAATATTGTGATGCACAATGTAAATTGCTACTCTAAAAGTGTAAGTCATGATGAACTTCACAACAGATTCTGGTCTCATCAATTGTGTACTTATGAATCTATTATTTAAGTATAACATAATTTGTTTTGCACTTACAATCTTCCTACAACTTTCCTATTGAGTTGCTCAATCGATGTCTATATTTTTTAGTTCCCTGGAGAGTGTTTTTGTATTTGATATTTCTATTAAAATTCGACTGAAATTTGCTTCACTAGATAATGTGCTTAGTCTGAGTTCACTAGATAGTTTTTCCTTTTGGGCTTAATATATAATCTAACCCCTTAAATTTTATCAAAATATTTTATTTAGATGCTCAAACTAAGTGTTGTGTTTCATTTGAACGTCTAAACTTTCAATAAACAATTATATACATTTTTATTTGAATTGTGAAAAGGGGGAAATTACCTTATTAGACATATATTTATACCATATATATTACTTCTACCAATACTTTCAAATAACTATGAATCTTATCACTAATTTTCAGATACATTTAGATATATGTAATTATGTGCTAAATACACTAAAATAGAGAGAGAGAGAAACGAGTGAGATGGTAAAAAAAGTAAATGAGACAAATTATATATCCTAGATATCATACAAATTAATTGCACTAGACACATGTAATTGTATGTATCTTAGCATCTGGTGCGACTTACATTTATCTTGAATAACAAATACATATGAGAGTACTAGCGAGTGAAACGAAAGGGAGGTGAAGCAGTGGCACATCCAGGATTTTCATTCAGG